TGACTAAGTAGATTCTCCCAGAGCTTCTCTGAAGTCAAACTCATTCTTAGCAGCTTTAGTATCAAGAATGTGCACAAATGGTTAAGAGACATTCTCACAGCTCTTCCTTCATCACAGGTGCAATGTACTACAGAAGGGGCAACATAGAAAATGTAGCCTAAATTCAAGTTTTCACAAAATAAATGTCAAAATTCTGAGAAGTCACCATAAACTAATGAAAACTTACATCCAAACAAACATGCTTGAAAGTCTCTTTACTTCACAGAGGGAGAATATGAAAGCAAATAACTTCTAGAATTGATCTTACACTTCTAGACTTGCATAATATCTGCCCGATGATTTAGATAGCAAGCATCTCTGGTAACTGTTTCACTTCAGTGACATTGCTTGAATATACATAACCCTCATTTTAGATGAAATGTTTATCTTCTCTTCTATTACTTCCGAGAGTGCTAGCTGAAATGGATTATCCCCTTTTGTGAGCCCTGCTGAGTTATGCTGTAATTTTAGTTACTACTGTAAGGTCTTGGCAGAGAAAGGCAAAAGTACCAAATAAATATGTGTGTATGTCATAAATAATTAGTATCTGTCTAATAAAAATGATGACCATAAGGTTGTAAGTAGTAAGGCAGTAAGTTTACTGTGAGGCAGCAGAATGGAAAGAGAATAGGACACAGGAACTTACCATCAGCCCACGGTTTTCTATTATGACAGTGTCAAGTGGTATATCTGAAGCAATGGAAAATAGGGTCAATACTATGGGAGAAAAAGATAGACAGGCATTTCAGCATTCTGAGATGGTAGTTTTTCCTGTTTCTTACAAATTATTCCTCTGGGTTGACAGGCCCAGATTACTGATCTACTTCTAAGTAAGCAATAAAGAGGGAAAAGAAATCTGACTGGCTTTGGTGCAGAGCCACCTGAAGCTGAAATTGCAGCATGTGAACCCAGCTGTGAACCCATCCTTGAGACATCTCAGAGCCATGGAGCAGCACTGCTGCTCAGACATGTCTGGCATGGAGCTAACAGATCTTCCAGGCCTGACCTTGGGTGCCATTGTTGTGTGTCCAGAACTGGGATTGTTAAGGAGCAGCTTGAGAGATATCTCAGTACTTGGCAGCACTTAACTCAGCGCTGAAGCTGAGTGATGTGCTCATGCTGCAGCCTCTGTTAGACCCCAGGTGATTCTTACAGGACCACAGGAATGTCTCATTGCTGCACAGCTCCTAGTGGGCCACAGGTTGCCAGCTCTTGGCTGGCTGGACAGGGCTTCGTGGGCAATTATCCAGGCCATTTTCTTGCTCTAAAAAAGGAAAAAATATAACAATGGCAAAAAGGTGATTAGAAGTTGAAAATTTATGCTTTCTTGTTGTGCTATTGGCTTTGCAGTGTATTTACTCTGACTAGACTAATTGTAGGATTCATTAATTCTTTATCCTGTTTAGAAGTACAAGTTTGACTATCCAGGATTTCACAAACTAGCTATATCCAGAGACAGGACACAGGGAACAGCTCTACTACTGATAGCAAAAGTCACTCAGTTTCCTAGCTGATTCATCTTGTGCACAAAGTCAGGACTAAACACTTTACCAAATCTAGACTAATTTTGCTCCAGAATAGCTTGGCTGAGAGCCATGCAGTTACGACACTAGCTTTGGCCTTAAGATTTTCAGTCATCTTCTTTTGGTTTTTTTACAGGAGAAAGCATAATTTTTTAAACTACTGCAAAATATTTTGTGCCTTATGAAATGTGGGAGCAGATATCCTAAAGTGGATCTTATGGTGAAATGCATGTCCTTGTGTGAAGAGGATGTATTTAAATGATACAGCCACTTCAGACATTAAGTTCCTGTTTGCTTCTCTGTATTTTAAAGTTACAGCTGTTTCTCAGAAGGTTTTCAGCTGTGTGGAGTAGTAAGAATTCCTTTTAACTACACTTACAAGATGCCTAAATAGAAAATTCAAGAAGGTGCTATAGGTTGCCCTCAGTTACATGCTTCCTTTCACCAGTTTGGAGCTTCTCTCACAGAAAACTGTACGCACTCCATCAGTTTCAGTGACCTGAAATCATTAATTTCCTTCTCTCCCTAGGTCCTTGACCCTTTTATTTTGAAAGTATTACTGGAATATAATTTCTTGAATATCACAAATACTGTTTTTATCATGGTGAAAAGTTAAAAAAACAAACCCAAGGTTCATATCCTTTTCAAACCAAAGTGTAATACGCAACCACAGGAACAAAAAATTGCGAGTGACTTGTGGCATTTCAGTTTTACTTTGACAAACAGGTAATCCAGTCATAGTCTGAGAGCATCAAGAATATGTAGCCTCTCCTTTTCTATTCTTGAAAAGTGTGGAATGAAATTGCTCAGAAAAGACTGTTTTGACACCATTGTTAATGCTTTTTCTTTTTGTACTTACTGAAGACGCCCTTGTTTGCTGCAGCTGTATCTTAACTGAATAATATTAGTGTTTTAATTTGACTTTTTAAGGCTGTGTTAAGTTTTCATTTACTCTCAGATCAGGTTGGATTGTATGAGGATATGGTTTTCCTCAAGAATTTCCCTAGGTACTTTACCTAGGTTATCTAAAGACATTAGGATATCATTTAGTTGCTTAAAAGTTTTAGTGGAATTTTGGTCTTAAAATGCTTAGGATTAAAGACACTCTCAGATCAAAAGAGTGAATTTTCCCTTCTTCTACATCTTCCACCTCCTACTCTCTCCCCTTCATGCCCAGTTGCCTAAATTGCTTCTTAGTTTAATTCGGAGAGAAATGACCTTCAAACCCTAAAAAAAAATTAAAAAATTAAAGCCGATTTAAAATTTTTCAGTTGAAAAAGGACCCTGTCAACCTTTTCTCATTGAGTTTCTCGCCAAAATGTGTCTGGGATTGACTTCACTTGGCCATGTCAGCGCAAAACATTTCTGGAAACAGTTTCCCCAAGAGCCATTCCATCCCTTGTGGCTTTGAAATGCTAATTTCAAGATAATCTAATTAGGCTAATGACCTGTCCATACAGGAAAGTTGGGTGAAATTTCCCTGCCTCCTAGACTTGCATTTCTATTTTATTTTATTTTATTTTATTTTATTTTGGCTGATAGTAAACAGCAAGAAGCACAAACTTTGATTTCGAGGAAGGAAAACACTCTTGAAAGAGGTAGTTGCTTAGAAGTCAACCATGCCATGCTTTTGAATTGACATTAAAAAGAAAATAGGTGTTGATAGTGAAGCCATAATGCATACTTATCTATCGATTACAGTTCGTCTGTGTCTCAACAGCATTAAGTCTTCATTCAGTAGAACACAGACCTTGTAAATGTTAGTGTGAGACAAAACGCATGCAAGGGTGCAGCTCTGATCTACTAATCCAGCTAATCTCCATGCTTTGGTCATTCACAGAGGGGATCGCAAGCCTAGGGGCAGAGAATTGCAGTCTCGACCCCTCGTAAAAAGGAACTGGCTGGAAACTGTCCAAGTGTTTTGAAGCTGCAAATTCAACTTGAAGTGTTCACTGAAAGACGGTGAAGGACACCTGAAGCTGTGCAAAGCAGACTCTATGAACATCATTTCAAGTTTGATCAAGTTAGAATCAGAAAATCTTCCTGTTAAGCAGTTGTTTGGCTTTTTGCATTTACCGAGCTTGATGGCAGAATTACAGAGCAGAATGAAAGATCACTAAAAATACTGAGCTGGAAGATAGTAGAAAACCTATTACAGAGGTGTGTTGGAGAACTTTTGTTTGCCTTTCACGGAGAGTGAAGCCTACAAACATCACCACTTTTTTTTTTTCCTTTTTTTTTTTGGTAACAGATTCTTCCCAGGTTTGCAACTGTTAGTTCTATTTACTGGATAATAACTGAATTGTTTATGATATGCCAATCTGACACTCTTTATTTAAGATTATTCTCACTAATACATTTCTCACTTCACTTTCAGATATAGCGTTTCCCCTCCTATCGGACTGAACTACAACTTACGACGTTTTTTGTTTTGGGATTTCTTTAGTAATTTTTACCACTTGTTTTTGTTGCTGTCGCCGCTGTTACTCTCGTGAGAGGACAGTCGTTTCTCTAGTATGCCGCACTGCAACTCGCCCGTCGGAAGGGCCGGGGGGCAACGCTGCCGTCCTGCGGGGAGCTGGGCGGGCGGGCCGGCAGCCGCAGGGCCGAGGGCACGAACCATCGCCAGCTGGGCTTCCATCGCTGCATCAGCGCTGATCCGCGGGAGCTGTACAGGGCCCGGGCTGCTCACGGGTCCCTCCCGCGCTCCCGCACGGCCGGCGCCGCTCGCCGGGCAGCCCGGCAGCTCGCTGCGGCGGCCGGGCCGAGCCTCACGGCCTGGCCTGCCCTGTCCTGTCCTGTCCGGCCCGGCCGAGCCCCGCAGCCGCGCCCTCGGGCGGGCAGGCTGCCTGCAGGTGGCGATCGGCACCTCCAGCGCCGCCGGCCCCGGGCGGCCCGGGGAGCGCTGCCCCGCAGCAGCGGCGGTGCCCGCTCGCAGAGCGCCCTGGGCCCTCCCCGCTCTGCGCTGCCCCCGGAGCTGGTCCTGAGGGGCAGCCCAGAGCCAGCGCTGCGGGCGCGCGGAGCTGGGAAGCGATTTGTAAAGGGCGGAGGGTAGGAGGGGGGGGGCGTAGGGAATTTATCTGCGGTGCCCCTGCAAACGACACGGGAATGACATCTGCGCCCACCCGACGATGGCGACCCAGCGAGCCCACCGCGAAAAGGGAGGAGGGGAGGGGGACGGGGAGGGGCGAGAGTAAGGAGGGAGGGAGGGCAGGGAGAAGCGAGGAGAGGCAGAGCAAGGGGGAGCAGCCCGGGTGAGCGGCGGAGCGAGGGGCAGAACTGGGCAAGCGGCGGCAGGAGGGCCGTCCCCGCCGTGCGGGGCTGCGCGCTGGGCAGGGGCGGCGGGGATGGGCGGGCGCGGGGCGGCTCCGCCAGCCGCCGTCCTCCGAGCTTCGGCCGCCTCCCGCCGCGCTATATAGGGGAGGGAGGGGTGGTGGATCGGGGGGTGCCCGGCGTGGCGAAACCGCACGGGGCGCCGATGCCTCCTGCCAGGGAAGCGCACAAGTGACCGGCATCTCTTCCCATGTCTGTCTCCTGAAGCGACCCCCCCCCCCCCACCCCCCGCCGGCATGGATGTGGCCAACAATACTACCTCCCCAGCGCGCTCCCCCGAGGGGACAAGCGGCCCCGGCCTCGCCGAGATGACCCTGGGCTACCAGGTGCTGACCTCCCTGCTCCTGGGCACGCTTATCCTGTGCGCCGTGAGCGGCAACGCCTGCGTGATCGCAGCCATCGCCCTGGAGCGCTCCCTGCAAACCGTGGCCAACTATTTGATCGGCTCGCTGGCCGTCACCGACCTCATGGTGTCCGTGCTGGTGCTGCCCATGGCGGCCCTCTACCAGGTGCTGAACAAGTGGACGCTGGGGCAGGTCACCTGCGACATCTTCATCTCGCTGGACGTGCTTTGCTGCACCTCGTCTATCCTGCACCTGTGCGCCATCGCTTTGGACAGGTACTGGGCCATCACGGACCCCATTGACTATGTGAACAAGCGAACTCCCCGGCGGGCGGCCGTGCTCATCAGCCTGACCTGGCTTATCGGCTTCTTGATATCCATCCCGCCCATGCTGGGCTGGAGGACGCCGGAGGACCGCTCGAACCCCGACGCCTGCACCATCAGCAAGGACCACGGGTACACCATCTACTCCACCTTCGGCGCCTTCTACATTCCGCTTCTTCTCATGCTGGTGCTCTACGGTCGCATCTTCAAGGCGGCACGGTTTAGGATCCGCAAGACAGTAAAGAAAGCAGAGAAGAAAAAAATCGCCGACACCTGCCTCACCCTCTCTCCGGCCACCGCGAAGAAAGGCAACGAGGAGCCCGGCAAGGGCTGGCGGCGGACTGTAGAGCCCAAGCCCGGCGCTTGTGTCAACGGCGCGGTGCGGCAGGGCCAGGACGGGACCGCCCTGGAGATCATCGAGGTCCAGCACTGCAACAGTTCCTCCAAGACTCACCTGCCGCTGCCCAGCGAGGCGTACGGCTCCCCACCGCCGCCCTCTTTCGAGAGGCGCAACGAGAAGAACACGGAAGCCAAACGCAGAATGGCTCTGTCCCGGGAGAGGAAGACTGTCAAGACCCTGGGCATCATTATGGGCACCTTTATCCTCTGCTGGTTGCCGTTCTTCATCGTGGCCCTGGTCCTGCCCTTTTGTGACAGTAAGTGCTACATGCCCGAGTGGCTGGGGGCAGTCATCAACTGGCTGGGCTACTCCAACTCCCTTCTCAACCCCATTATCTATGCCTATTTCAACAAAGACTTCCAAAGTGCTTTTAAGAAAATTATCAAGTGCAAATTTTGCCGGCAGTGAAGCCCGCCACTCCGGGACGGGGCAATGGGATCCTGTTACTTCCCCCCGCGCCTGCCCCGAGCCGCAGTGTACCCCCTCCCAGCCCCTGCACACCCTCGCCAAGGGCGGGGGATCCGGCACCCCCGCTCCCTCGCTTGGCGCCCGCCGGACAAGCCCTGCGGGCACGGCGGGGCTCGGCTGGGAACGACCGGGGACGCCCGGCCCGGGAGGGCTCCGCGGCCGCCCTCGTCCCTCCCGGCGCTCCCGCCTCCCTCCCACTCTCCATCATTCTGGGTAGACTTAGGGTTTGCAGGTCGTTGCTTGTGGTGGCTGTAAACCATAGTGTCTGCCCGAGTAGCATCGGTAAAACAAAACCGCCCTATGCAGGAAACCGCCGTGTCGGGGATTATTCTTGGATTTACGAGGCTACGACAGTGGACTGGGTCCGACCTCGGTCTGGGGGTGTGAGTATGGAGGCTGAAGGCGACTCCTCGAGCCGAGGAAGTAGCTTTGGGCGCGTTGCTTCCCTGTTTGTGAAACCCTCAAGTGGATGTTCTTGGGGGAAAACCGCCCGTGTTTAGTAACCTTGAAAAGTACTTACAGCAACGTCCCCGTCTGTGTTACGTGTGCCTGACAGCCATCCTGGTATGCTAGGACCTGCCAGTTCACCGGGGTTCCCTTTGTTGCAACACAGGGAAATTATGGGACTTAAAACCCCAACCGCACGCCTCATTATATATGGAGATTTATGGGGATTATTTTTTTTAAAATGCCTTGGACCGAGTGTTTCCCAGCAAGGAAAGGCTTGGCGCCATGCGACTGTCCCTGAGTACACTGCGCACGCAACGGCACAGGGAGTGTAAGCAGCCTGTGAAGTAGCGTTTCTTTCTCTTTTTTCCTCTTTTTTTTTTTTTTTTTTTTTTTTTCCTTCCTTAAGCCGCTTGAAAGTTTCTCCTGAGACGTTGCGGTTGCTTCGGAGTCAGTCAGCTGCGGCACATTTGCTCGGGAGGAAAAAATAAAAAAAGAAAAAGAAAAAAATAAAGAAAGACAAACAGCAACAAAACGATCCAAACCTATCAACCAAAACATTGCCATGTGCTCCGTGGCAGTAGGGGAGGGGCCGAGAGCATCAGCCAGCGGCAGTCGCAGGTGGGGAAAAGCAGCATCTCGCCGCAGACTGGGAAGGGACAGGCTCTTTCCTCCTCCGGGCGAGCCCTGGCGGAGGTAAGCAAGACCTTCCAATGTGAGAAGGTCTGAGAGCCACGGCGAGAAGCAGGCAGTGTCCTGAGGGCTCTCCTTGCTGACCTGGCCGGTCCCCGGGACGGCTCTGCAAGCCTCGGTCCGCAAAGAGTACCCCCTGTGCCGCTAGCCCCGCTGCTCGGCCCCGGGAAGCCCGGTGTACTTGCCCTTCCCCGCCTGCCCGGGGCTGGGGCAGGGCTGCCTGCCCGCCCCAAAGCCCCCCTGCCCCTCCGCTGCCCCCGCCTTTCCCTCCGGCTGCGGCCGGGAGCTGGGCTCGCCTTCGGCCCGGGGAGGAGGGAAAGGCGCCGGGCCGGACACCGGCACTGGGCCGGCTGCCGCTCACCCCTGCGACGGGTCGCCTGGAATGAATGCTTGACCAAATATATATATATATATACATATATATATTTTTCCTGTTTATTTTTGTGCAATCTGTGTTGCTTGAAAGTAAAAGGGAATGTGAAATATATGTGTCACGTGAATGTAAGTGTCCAGTAATTTCTGAACTTCAACCGCTTACATTAAACGAAAATAGTGCTTTTGACAACCTCCGATATGTAGCTGGTTTTCTGAAAATCGTATTTGGCCTCATTTTCGCAATTAAAGTGATCTTTGATCTTATCTCTTCTTTGATCACTCCTAACCACACGCGTCCTAGATGTTCTCCAAGTGTCGGAGTGTCAGAGGAGTTAGCCTAGAGCGATTAGGGAGACGAAACTTCTCCGGAGTACTCACTCAGGTGCCCGGTGACTTTGGGAGCGCGGCGCTCTGCGGGTGGGCCTGGGCAGAGGCGGGGCAAGGAGCGGGGCAAGGAGCGCCCGTGAGCGCCGGCGGTGCGGGGGGATTGCTGCTGCTGCGACCAGCGCAGGAGGGGCTTGCTCCTCTCAGGGAATCCTTCCTTGAATCCTGCCGACTTCACGTCGGCTCCTCCACGTTTTGCCTTTTTCCACATAATTTTTTTCTTCGTAAAGCTTCCTGTAAACTCCGCGGCAGCGCTCTCAGCTGGGACTGCGTGGCCGCCCCTCGGTCCCGCAGGACAGACGGACAGACAGACAGAGAGAGACCGCGCGGGGTCCCCGGTGCTCCGCGGGGCTGGCTCCTGGCTGCGCGGCGGGATGGGACGGGACAGGGTCACCCGACTTCCCCGAGAGCCCCAGGACCTGGAAGCGCGCTACAGAGACGGGGCAACCAGAGGGGTGCCCCTTCCGAGCTCGCTGGGCCCGCCCGCGCTGCACGGCTACGCATGGCGGGGGTACCAGGGCACCCGTGCCCGGGCCATCTTGTCCCAGGCTCCCCCTCGGGAGTCCCGGAGCCTGGAAGCGCAGCTGCCTCGGGCCGGCCCCAGCCGGCGGGACGCGCCCTTTCCTGCCCAGCGCTGCCCCTGCTTCCCCGCGCGGTCTCCGCCCGCTCCTTCCCCGGGCAGGGCGCTGGGCACGGCGCCGGGCCCTGCCAGGACAGCGCGGGCACCGCTGTCCCGGCGCCCGCACCATCAGCCGCTCGCCTCGGCCTCCCTCCGCACCCTGGCACGGCCACACGGGCCGCGCCCCGAGACTGCAGAGCCGGGGCGGCTCCACAGCATCCCCCTCCTTCTTCCCTGCACTAGCCACGACGGAAGAAGCACCCCAGAACTCCGTGGGACTGTTTCTCTGAAGAGTTTAACTTTCTCCCTCCTTCTGTTGCTTTCCCTCCGTTTTTTTTTTTTCTCCTTTGCAATAAAATTTATAATGTGAAGGAAACGACCTGCTTTAAAATATAGAGCTTTTTGTTTCTGTACTGTGATTTTCAAATTCTTAATTTAATTTCCACTCCAATTTAGGAAAAACCCAACCTAATCAAATCCCTAAAAACCAACCAACCCAGTGTTTTTAAAATCAATTTTGCATTAAATCAGTATTTGTGTTTAGTTGCAGTATTTTATTTGGCCCACTAACAAGCAACGTCCCTGCAGTTCAGACAGGTTAATTTCAGTTTTAAGGTTCTATGGAAGTTCAAGAAATGAATAAAGAAAAATCCAAATAGCAAGCAAAAAGATTTTATGTGTTTAACAGAGCACAGAAAACTGAGTTTAAACAACTTCAGTCAATTGTGAATATCAAAGATAAGTACAGATATAAAGGCTTTAACCTTATCTTCATTTAAAATGCCTCTTTAGACTGTTGTAAAAAAATAATAGTTTCATAACTCTAGATTTTCTATGCTCTTTGGCTCCAGTTGAGGCTGAATTTGGGACTGAATCACACATCTGACAAGAAGTGCTGGCAGAGCAATTGAAATATACTTACACTGGCCAACAGTATTTATGTTTGGGACTAGAGGGATGAACAGATAGGAATAAGAAAAAGACCTGTAGGCTTGAGGTGGTTTCGTCCAAACAGCAAAACAAATTTTGAGACCATAAAACTTCATCTATTTAAATAGAAATTTTCAACATAAAATTCTTGATACACCTTTCTTTCCCCTCTCAGTCCCATCCTGATAGCAACGTGCTGTATGTGTGGTAAAAACAGCAAAACCCCTCAAACCAATGTCCCTAAATATCCTCATAATTAAAAACCTGGTCTCTAGAATCTGCAGTTTCAAGCATTTTTCAGGACAACACTGTGAATCTTGCACTAAAACACACAGAGAAGTGATTCATCCCCAGAGAGAAGAAACAAAATGATGATGCAAGTGAATTTCTGCTTCATAGCTGCCCAGTTTTAACAGAGATTCTGTTTTAACAGTAGAGGTGACTATGACCCCTTTATATGCGTCTGGAGAAAACCCAAAATGGCTATAATCTAGCATGCAAACAGTCCTGTTGGTGTCCTGCAAAATCTAAAAATGATGACGTCTCAGAGCTTTGGAAGCTACAGTGTCTTCTGTACCTCTGGATCTCAGTCCAAGTCTCCCTGTTTGGGAAAATGCTGCTATGAGCCTCACCTTACCTTGCTGCTCACAGCTGAGCTCGTGTTCTCCCCAGGTAACCAGTGTGACTTCAGGGGCAATTGCACAGCATGAAATATCTTCTGTTGGACTGGAAGCAAAAAGTTTTGGTGAATAATCCTTTCCACAGCAAGAATGTACTCTAAACTATATAATGTAATGGGGTAGTTTCTTGACTTGGGCAGTGAATGACAGAAGATTCACTTATCTCTCTTGACTAAAAAAATGCTCAAGCACAAAGAGAACTCTACTTACATGTACTTACAAGTTCCAACCTTGCAAATGTCTGTGCCAAGTTAGTTTGGCAGACTGTCAGTATTGCCCAGAAGAATGAAGACGAAGGATAGGAAACAAATGGATTATAAAATATATTATAATTACTAAACCTGAAAAAAAATTGATAGGGCAACAAATAACCCAACTCAACCCAAACCCAGAACCCACTTCCCCACCCGCAAAAATCAGAGGCAGATGGCCATCCACATAGTTTCTGAATTTTTCACAGAACTGTTTAATATAGTGAGTTCTTTCTTAAAAAACCAAAACATTTCTTGCAAAGAAACAAACTTGAAGAAAGTGAAATAGGTACAAGAATCATGTTGAAAATGCTAGCCAGCACAAGCAGAGGTCAGTATTTCCTCCTATTGTAATAATGTATTTATTTATTGTTTGTACCAAAAGGCGCTTGAAGCATCTTTTGCTATTAAGCAGGGTCAATATAATCCTTTCAAATCGACTTTCACATTTCAGAGCTATTTACATCCCCAGCTGAGCCATAGCTTATGTACACACAGGAGCAATGAGAATGATGTAAGATAAAGGTGCTCTCAGTGGCCTATTTTAACTTGTATCTTGTTCCT